CTGTCTCCTTCCGAAAATCGCAACTTCAAAGCATATGAGCGTGTCTCTTTTCCGAACGTCGCAACTTAGTCAATGATGTGCGGTGGGAGGCAGCAAGACTTCACTCCATGCTTTCGAGGCGATTAAGCTGTATAAAGTCTCCGCTTTCTGGACTTGTCTCTTGTACACCACTCTACTTCTTCATTTACCAAAAGTTAGCAAAATGTACACATGGTTCTGCTCTGCCCTTTCTTCCCAAAGCTAAACGTCAATAGTTTATGGCTTTTCTGCTCCGGCACTCAAAACAGTGCATTGTCCTTAGAATGCGCGGGCTGCTGCTTTGCTTCGAGATTAAAAGAAAAGAGTGGGCTATGCTGTGATGTTCTGGGACTGGGTCGAGCAGGTACATGAGCTTGCTCGAATATGTCGAAGAAAAGACATAGAAGAGACATGCGGTACTATCGTGGTGTGGAGCAGGTCCAGAAATGAACACTAGCAGGAACGATGTGTCTGGCGGCGCGCTGGCGGTGCATCAACGAGTTCATCACCAGAAGAGAGTATAAATTCTTCCCCTCGGCTTGTACTCTTCCTCTTCTCTATCACACATCCCACTTTTATTTCCAAAAACCACGTTACATATCATACATGTGGTTGCTTCTGAAAAGAGACAGTACACAAAAAGTTAGCAGCGAGACAGCTTTCCTCCAAAACCAGCACTATTAGGTTGCCATGTCTCTGTCTCGCCTCCGAGTTACTTTACAAATTCGGCACCAGCAAGTGCAATGCATCTCCAAAACTTGGAAGATCTACTACATGCTTTCCTGGATGCCTTGGCGTGGTAGTCATATATAAACCGCCTTCTTCCCGGCTTCCTACTTCTGTTGTTCTACTCCCTACCTACCTAAAAGGGTTTTACACCAAAAGAATGCCTAACATTCATCATGTGGGCTTGCTCTGCTCTTCTCCAAAATCTCTTGAGCAACCTCTTATGGCTGTCTCTGCCTCGCGAAACAAGAAAAAGAATTCTTCATAGTCTACATAATCTTTCTCCTTTGCGCTAGCATAACTAAAAAGTGAAAAGAGTTGGTTTATGTCGCAAAAAGCAACTTTAAAGTTGTGCATGTGCGTTGCGCTGCCTGCAAAATGTTCGCCCGTCATTTCGATAGATTTCCTGGCCTAAAGCCTCGAATCTACTATATAAGCGCCGTGTTGTCCTATACTCCTTCTTCAACACTTCCTCCGCTTAAGACCAAAAAGAGACCAAAAATGTTTCGATAACGACTGCTTCTCCGTTCCTAAAACTGCACTCGATTAGACGAATAGCTCTAGGGTTTCTGGCACCAAAATCGCACATCGCTTTCGTCATGTTTTGTTCCGTCTTCCGGTGCAACTTACTTAAACCCGTCATCGCTGCAACTATGTTTCCACACGTCGCTACATTAAACCATCGACTCTACTTTTCCCTTTTCCGAAAACTGCTACCGAAAAGAACGATGTCTCTTCTCGCCTTCGGAGCTAGCTGCAAAAAGCCTATCTGTCGGACACTATGTGTTGTACGCGAAATAAAGACGCTCTACGAAATTTTGCATGTGTTTTGACCGTTGCGCCGCTATTAGACAATGGGGTATTTAAGACGTCTACGATCGACTCTCTCTGGATGTTTTATTACACACTTTCTCCTGCAATTTACCAAAACGCGAAGCTTATCCCCGTATAACTTGCTTTGTCGAAAAGATCGAAACTACCGCTCTTTGGTCGCATAACTTTTCCGCCACTTAGTACTCTCTCGTCTATAAAGTCCAAGGTCTGCAAGCTCTTACTTCTTTCCACCTTTGTGTAACTACTTTTCGAAAATAGACACCATCAAGCAGTCATGTTCCAAAACTACGAAAACGGCGCCTATGTCCTAGCTCTTCCGAGCTTCCACAACTTCTTAATACGAAACATGTACCTTTCTTGCCAACCCTACCCCAAAGAAAAAAACAAGTGCGGCGCCTTTTCATGTCTTTCCGCTGCATCAGAAAACTACAAGACCTTCTGTGATGTTGTGGGCCTGCCGAAACGTGCGCGGCTTTACGCAATGGTTGGGTTCTGCCGAGTTGGCGAAGTCAAAATTTCTCAAAATTCGAATTGCCATTTCGATGAGTACCGAGGCTTGGTGGCTGCTGTATAAAATCCAAATCTTGGGGCTGGATGTTTCTCTATCTTCACTTACTTTATAATACCAACAAAAATGACCACAAAGATGTTTATGGGTCTGGCGTTGCAATTAAAAGTTCATTTGCCCTTTCAATGTCTGCTTCTTTTGCTCGAATCGAAAACTGTACCTTACAAGCACATGCTGTTGCTGCCTCCAAACCACATGAAAGGAAGCACATGATCGAAATGAGAGTACTGTACTCCGCCACGAGGATGGTTGGCTTCCCGCTCCTTTCTCCAAAAATACCGTCGAAACAATTCTATGTCGGAAGCAACTGTATGCCACGGCTTCAGTCGTCAATTTCGCCTTCTAGGCCGGCGATGTAAACTCCGTCACGGTGCGTCATGTGTATGTCTCACGGTCCGACGCTTGTCTGAAGAGTTTGAGGAGTATAAAAGACCACAAAGCGCATGTCAAAATCAGTTATGCTGACCAAGTCTCCTTCATCCTCAAGGTTTCTAAAAATAGCACTACACACGGCCATGTCTTCTCTTTCCCTGAGCACCAAAAACGGCTATAGTGGCTCTCATGGAGTCAGAAGGATCGGTCAGCTGCGGACAGTGTCGAAGGCCCGTCTCATAACTTTTCAAGGCTACCTCTTTGGCACGGTCCTCCAACGCATGTGATAATTCGTCATCTATACTATGAACATGCATACCAACAACAGCTGACTTTTTGAAACTCATTTACCTCAAACGCGACAGTCCATCGCTCATCGCCCATCGCCCATTTACTCAGCAATCCCAACAACCTTGACCTCATCCGCCCTCCACTTCCTCATCGGCACCTTCTCCAACTCCCCCCTCAACCTCTCCTGATCCCCCCAAACCTCCTCCCCAACCTCTTCCCTGCTCACCCAAGCCCAATCCCCTTTAAGCACACCAACCCCATACCTCCCATACTCCTCTCCCACCTTCAACAACCTCGTATCCGACCCCCAAATTCCCGCTTCCTCGGGATCTGAAATCAGCGTATAGCTCCTCTCATGCACAGTCTCGCTGTTCTCGAAAACCAGGACTTCAGTCTCGTTGGGCGGGAAAGGGTCTGTTTCGCCTTCTACGTCTGCGTCTGGCGGACTGTAGCCTTTCGTTGGGCCGCGCTTCTTTCCGGTTTTGAGGTCCCGGAGTTCGACGCTGGCTTTGTTGCGGCCGTGGGGGATAGATCGTAGGACGGCGATGCCTTTTGTGTTTGCGATTTCGGTGCGGGTGCGATCCAGGTGCCAGGCGAGGGTGATGGTGCATGGTGGGTTGCCTGAGACGGATATCGTGTCGGTAGAGGTCAGGATGGTTGGGCGGATAGGTGGTGGCTTGGGAACTGTGGCAAGGGCTTTGAAGGTGTAGCTAGGCAGTGGTGGAGATGGTTGCGGTGTGCTTTCCGTCTCCGGCTCGGGTAAATGGGATGGGTCATGATGCTCACCAGCGTACCACGTCATGATACCATGAGACCGGAGACGGATGGTATACGTTTTCCCCGCTACGAACGAGGACGGATCGAAGGAATAGGGCATGGGATTCGACACGGTAGTGCCTGGACGAGTCGACCACATGGTATAGCTGTCGAGCTTTTCGGGGTCTAGTATAAGAAGTCGTCGTTCAATGCCTTGAGTAGCGGTTTTGGAAGGCACATGGTCCACACTTTCACCCGTCTCTGCGTCGACAATTTCGAACAAGCCTTTTGCAAAGGCCGCCTCAGGATCAAAGATGGTGTTTTTGGTGTCGATGGTGAATTTTGAGTGGTAGTCGACATTGCGTACAAGGCTGATGTCGAACGTATCGCTGCAGTCAATGTAGCAGAATGCACTGGTGTAGAGTGTGAACGTTATCGAAGGAGCCATGGTAAGAATCGCAGTATTGATTCCTAGCTGTCAGAGTTCTCAGTTTGCCGGTGTAGCGGCGACGAGTATAAAGAGTGATGTGTCGGTGGTTCTGTCTAACCATACCCAGCTGATAGTGTGACGTCAACGGCGCTAATCTCAGGTTGGCCCCCGGGTGTCACCAAACCGCCCCAGGCCTTGTTCTCGTCCGTCGCCCCGAACATGCATAGTAATACTTTGCATTTCGCCCCCTGACCAAGCATTCTCGAGGGCCTAAGGCACAATCGAGATGCTCATGGGGCGTGGTGACGACACAGCCATCGTGAACTGTCACCTGACTACCTAGGTACGCGCCATACTGTAGTTATAGCTATACACTTACTGGTGTTTCAGTGCTGCTTATGTCCCGAGGATTATGTTGAGCTGAGTTTTGAGGCTACCTGGTCAGTCGAGAGATAAGCCACCCCAAGACGATGCCAGCTCCTTATACAAACGAGGCCACAGATCCTTCTGCCTTAAACACCATGTTTCTTTGTGATCGGGATGAAACAATGACGTCTTTCTGTACCGAACGACTGCTGTGGATTCGAGTTTGAAGACGCCCTGTGCGCTCTCCACGCCATAGCCACTTAGCCCCAGGAGAGGCACCAGACACATCGACATGACGTTGTATTATCCGTTCCTCCGTCTCTCCATCCATCATATTCTACAGCCCCACGGCAAATGTCTCGATAAATCGTCATAGCCATGTTTCAAGGCCCTATTCACGTACTCGGAAAGCCCGAGACTCCAGCAACTGCCCCAAAGTTCTGAGGTAAGGCGGTGTTATACCGTTCACTCAGGCGTACTCTGGGGTCTATGAAGGTCGCATGTTGTTGAATTGTGATATTCCCAAGTCAAAATAGCCCCAATGGATGTGTATAAAGCACTGATGCTCTGGACAATGAGATTTCAATCATACAACCGACCGACTTCTACCAAGCTTGACTACCGCCTGACACCACGAGCATGTATCTCAATCTGAGCCTCCTTGCCACAGTGCTTTCAATCAGTCGGCTTAGCTCTGCTAAGCCTATCGATGGGTCAGTCACAATTCTACCATATCTGGTGGCCATGCAGAACTGATATCTTCTAGGAAAGTACACGCTGTAAAACGGGAAGACCCGGTGTCTTACCCTTACGGCGACGCACTCACCAACGAATTCCAGTGGCTGGGCTGGGATCCCGAGGACGAAGATCAAAAGAAAGACGGACAGAAGATACACGAAGCGTTCAAACAATGGGTACGTCATCTGTCACACGGCTCTTTCAGCTCTTGTCTTCAATCCACAATGAGCGTATTGCTAAGACGTCTTGACTATCTAGGCAGACCTAGCCAAAGCAGGCGTTACTGCAGTCCAAGGAGCACCCGATAACGTGCACTTCAAACGCTTCTTCGGCAAGCAAGACGCAGAGGACACCAAAGCCATCCAAAACACCATGACAAACATGTATGACAACACGGCAAACACGGCCACAAAAACCATAAAGAAGATGGTTCTAGACCGTAAGGACTTTGGCGACCATTGTGTCAAAGACGGCTGGTTTGCCTACACAGATGCCCCGACTGGAAAGTTTCACATATGCCCCAAAGGCATTGCTATGAAGCAAAACTCGGATGTTCAATGCGCAGACTTCAAGCGAGACTGGATCACTTTCACGGCTCGGACGCTGCCTTTCGCGATGCTACACGAGTTCACGCACTACGACTTTGTGACGGATGACAGGATTGGCCTGATGGAGGATCACGCTCAAACTTCGTACGATTGCTTCAAGCTGGACGACGAAGAGAAGCAATCGAATGCCCAGAATTACGCGTTCAATGCTGCAGTAAGTCTCGCTTTCTATCGACGCAACATACCCATGCTAAGGAAGACCTCTAGGAGCAATACTGGTCCGATAAATGTCCAGACAAGGACTTCAAGGACCCTCAGTATGTCGCACCATCACCAACTCCCACGCCCACGCCCACACCAACACCAACACCCGAACCGGAACCCGTAGCCCCCTACGCCGACCAACCGGGCCAATGCCACATCCACGTCAACGAGTACGAAACCTGCGACTCGCACGACGAAAACCTCAGCGTCGAAATAACCATGTGGGACGTTTCCGGCGCCCAAATCGGCTACGTCGACCGGACCGTCGCCGGAGCCGGAAACCCACTCATGATGAAGAGCAAGCTAGAAAACACGCTCGAGGTAACGCCGGAGAACCAGAAGGATTACATCCAATTCACCCTTGGCGGGCAGTCGTGGGCGACGAACAAGGATAACGATGAGAGTGCGCCGGCGTATTGTAAGGTTGGGGGCTGGGACCCAAGGGCTGGGCCGTTGTGTAATGAGTTTGATAGTGGTACGGCTCAGGAGTCTAAGAGGCAGATGGATTGCTACTTTCAGTGCCCTTGGGGTGGTGGGGCGACGTCTGATGGGTCGTAAGGCTTTCGTAGGAAGGAAGGGCAAGATGGACCAGACGTTTGCTTGGGGACGGATAGCGACTCCGCTTGAGGCGGAGAAACGGACACTCTTTTTGTATGGCGTGGAGGAGAGAAATTTCGGTTAGTAAGAGCACACAATCATGGAGTAATGGAATGTACAATATATCGTAGAATTGTCACACGTCTCACGTAACACATCTCATCCTCTCATCACCACCGATCTATCGATTACGCATACAGAAGCAGACGAAAACGCTCGAAAAACACAAGAACAAACAAACAGGGGTATCTCGAGGCTCAGACGATATGCAACAAGGACGTTAGAACGCGTCGCTCCCACCGACCGTAACGCCTTGTGTCAGTCAGGGTCGTCTTCTCACGAGCCGGTGAAGAGATGCCAGACAACTGTAAAAACAGGTAGCAAACTCCACAGAACGCCTCAAATGCCGCATGTAAAACACGTAAAGAAAATTAGTTCGTAACCAGCTACCTGGCATGTTGAGTGCCATCAAGTAGCAGACCTAGACGTGGGGGCTGTTAGCGGGGATGGCGTGCGAAGAAGATGCAGAGAGCTCAAAGCTCCATCCTCTCAATGATGCCCTCGCTCATCGTCCGTATCTTACTCACGGCCCTCTCTCGGTCGACCAGTGACTCAACGTCGCTGTCGTCATCGCTCTCGTAGTAATCGGCGTCCATGCTCATGTCTCTGGCAGGCAGGTAGCGCTGTTGTTCTGCGTCGACGACATCTCCGGGGTGATCGATGACCATGTTGTCGAGCTCATCACTGTCTCCATATGCCTCAAGTCCCTTCCTAGCACGATCGCCGAGCCAGTATTCCGCGCGCTTCCTACTGCCCGCATTCGCACTGGACTCGTATTTTGATGCTTTGAATTTCGACATAAGCGACATGGCGACGCTTGGTGAGTTCGACAAAGCCGATATCCCTCGGAGATAGAAGTAAGCAACTCGCTTCCGCTCCTTGTTGTACAGGAAGAAGTGGTGACTCCAAATCGCACCGTCATCAGCGAAGGGGTCATCTGACGGCTCCCATGCATAGTATTCACAGCTCGACATGTCCATCTCCGTATCGAGCAGGTGCCAACTCCGCGGACTCCATATCGGTGAGCCAAGTGGTGTGACGGCGCCCGCTGGTAGTCCGGCGGAGTACACTTGCGGACGGAGATAGTACATTGTAGTGTCGATCTTGTGCATGAAGCTGTGGATGGTCTCGCGACGGAACTCATCAGGGTTCAGCGTGTTCGCGAAGTCGTAATCGATGTGTGTGGCATTGAGCGTCGCGATGAGGTATGCGAAGGTGTGACGGTTTGCTGCTTCGCTGAAGGATCCGAACGGCGTGTCTCGGGAGATGTCGAGTTGGTCTGCGAACTGAGCTGCAGACTGCTCGGACAGCCCCGCGACCGCTGATAGCAGGTCCTTGTGCCGCTCCTCGAGCGTCCTCTCGATGCGCTTGTACAGCTTCTTGTCGCTTCCCGCTGCTTTAATCGTCCAGAGATCGCATCCGCCGATGATTGCTGTGTCTTGTGTATCGAAGTTGAGGGCGAGGTTGACCTCGTGGAGGGCGCACAAATCGAGGTACTACGGTGCCACCGGGTCAGCTATGTCGTCACTCTGGCCTTATCGCATCGAGCACTTACCTTCATTGCGCTTGATGTGGACTCGCTTGGGCTGAGTGCCTATTATAGAATATATCGCGTATGATCCGAAATCTTCGAGATACGGTATGATTCAGCGCGCCGTGGCTGCTGGGCGTGGGTGTGGCGGTGGTCGGGATGGGGTAGCCTGCGCGAACCGATACAACAAGTAAACACGACTCTAGGCTGGCTGCGGAGAGGAGAGGGTACTGTCGTTCGGCCAGACGATCGTCTAGCAGGCAGTGGACATATGTATGGCTTGGGCGTGGTAGTGGTGTGAGATGTCGGTGTCGCTGTAACGACGTGGTCGCGATTGCGGAGAAGGTCAGCTTGGCGGTGTCGCCGAGCTAACAGCGGCATGTGTGTCGGGTCGTCCTTCCTGATTGGTCGATGCGCAACCTGCCTCTCAACCAACAACAGCTGCCGATAAGAGTGGATGGGTAGGCGACTGGTGTTGAGCGTTGATGTTAGTTGTATGCGGCCATGCCGAGTGTGTCTGGTACGCGGGGCATGTCATCTGATGGTCGAGCACGTGAAGGATAGAAGATGCCTGGAGATGAATCCACGTGAATTCGGCAACGTATCATTTGATGAATGCATGTCAAGGTTCTGGATGAAGGACCAAACGCTGATCCGAACCAATTGCTGTCACGAAGTGCAGGTGCGCAGTGTCTCGGCGGTGTGGAGACCTGTAGCTAGATGAATAAGGTAAGTGTACCAGCATAAGGAAAAAGAAAAAGGGAGAGAGAGTTGTCAAGTCTATCAGGGTGAAGTCTCGATATCATGATGTGTGATCACGTTCGAGCCCTTGAACCGCTTGTGTCAAACCTAGCTGTGTCGAGCAAGCCCGCCAGTCCGAGGTGTATGAATTGTAGTAGATAGAGTACAGCTACCGCCATCCGCTCTACAAGGCAGGATGGCAGGTAGTGCGTTCTCCAGATGATCCAACCCCTGCGCCGTGTGATATCGTTTCGCTCTTGACGCCTGCCCTTGGAAAGTTGTTTAGCATGAGCCGTGCTGTGACAGTCGACTGTGTGCCGTAGCCCTACCCCAAACTCCAATAACGCCGTACAATGTGTGTTCGTATGCGGATGCCGGATCGGGTCTACAAGATGCCGCTCTCTCGAAGTCGGCCTTTGAATTCATCCGCGTTCTGGAAGCCATCAGGCGCGGTCAGTGGGAACTCTTGGGACGGCGGTGACGGAGGGCCAGAAGGTGAGGTGCGACAGTGCGTTCCGTACACTTTTACATAATCTTGGTAACGATATCGTCCTCAGCCTGACGACAGGGCGTGTCAGCCAGCTGGCGCTATGGGTGCGTGCGGCGAAACAGACCCGAAAGTCATCACACCTCACTCACCTCCATATCTTCGAGGCTGTCTTGCTGTCCGATACACCGTAGCACGTTCTTCTTGCTGCTCTCTTGCATCTCACCAGCAAGCAGTAGCTCGTCCAGGATGAAGTAGGCCTTTTGGAAGTTGAAGATGATGTCGAGCTCGCAGACGTTGCCGTAGTACTTGTCCATCTGCTCGACGTAGCGGTGGACGATTTCGAGCGTGATCAGCTCATTGTCGGTCGAGTCGCAGCCGGCGATGAAGAAGAGCGAGGCGTATCGGCGATATACGATCTTGGTGTCTGGAGAACGTGTGAGCTAGCGAAGCTCTTACCGCTGCCGGACCCACTGACCTTTGTACTCTAGGAAGTTGCACATGCGGGTGCGGCGGGCGAGGACGAGTTGCGAGACGTCTTTGACAATCTTGGCCTTGTCTTTGGGGGCGAGGGTGGTGAACCACTTGGCTAGGCGCTGCGAGCTTCAGCAGAGGACTTGGGATTCTAGGGTGAGGGACCAACCACTTTGCCCTGCCGAGACAGCAGAATGAGGTACCTGAGCTGTTAGTGACTGCACTCTGTGTAGGTGATATGTCAAGGGTCGTCTTACTTGATCGTCATGGTGTCGTGTGAGGAGAAGATGGCAGTAGCTTGTGTCTGGCGCAATGGGGAAAGATGTTAGGTTCGGCGATCGGCGGTCACAGGCCAGCCCCGCGACTTTGAGACGTCAATGCGCCCTCATATCCCCGCTATCACCATCTGGTTTGGACAATAGACACTTGCGCGCAAGCAATTCTGCTCTTGGCCCATTCCTACTAATCATTGCCTAAAGCCTTGCGATTCAAAATATCTGCGCTACTGCACATCCGACGCGACAGCTATCCTAAGACGACCCACCCGCTGACAAACGTTCACCCTTCATCGGCAACTCGGATACCCCCGAAGAGTCACCATCACACAATATAGGAGGCTCTTTCGTCAGAACTGTTCTATTTCGCGTGATAATTGCGCAATACGACTGGTTGCCATCATGAAGCTCGTACTTTCTACGTCGTATGTCTCTCCATCTCCTTAAATGCCTTACCTAACAACCCAGAAATACAATGTCCGGTGGTCCTTCCGTGATAAGACGACCCTTCTTCGAGAAATCAAACACTGAACTCACCTCCTCCCTGCGCGCAAACTTCGCTGCCCACCAACCCTCTCCAACGCCCTCAAAACCCGACTACACAACATGGACCACCAAGACCGACTCCGCCCTATACGTACCCACGCACACGCCTTCACCTCTCACCGAAGCGCGAGAATCCTACGACATCACAGTCAAACTGTTCTACCTTCCCAACATACCCACCGACAGACGGTGCGCACAAACGCGAGAAGCGATAGAACTAGTGCTGAAAGAGCTGGGCACATCCTCGATAGACCTCCTCATCGTCAGCTTCCCCGGCGTATCCTTCGACGCCGACGATGAAGACTCCGATCTCGACGATGACGACGAACCTCCCTCGCCCCCTTCCGCAACACAATCCACAACCGAAAACACCGCTGGCGACTGTCCCGATGCCGGCGCACCACCAGAAGACATAGAAACCATGGTGACAACATGGCGATCACTCGAGAAACTGCACGCAGAGGGTCTGGTATCGAAACTCGGAATCGCAGAATTCGGCGTCGCGCGCTTGACAAAGTTCCTCGAACAGACCAAGATAAAACCAAGTGTGAATCAGATCAACGTAAGGGACTGTTGTGTCGTACCCAAGCCGTTGATACTGTATGCGAAGCAACAGCAGATCGAGCTGCTGACACACAATGACTGCACCAACATCTTACCGCGCGGCACGCTACGGCAAATACTTGGTTCGGGAGAGAACGGGTCCGGTGTTTTGGCAGGAGAAGGAAATCAAGATGGGCTTAAGGGCGATGTAGAGCCGCAGTGGGTAGTCAAATACACGGCTGTTGTCAAAGACAGAGGCGTGGTGGAAAGTAAAGGGTACTTTGCTGTTGCGGAACTGAGGGATTCATAAACATACGAAGAAAGGCAATCACTCAAATTACATACAATGTTCAGAAGTCTCTGGCCATGACAGTGTGATTATACATATATCAGGCATCCACAGACTACTCCATGCTCGCCCATAAGTAACCACCGACTATCTGCTCTTTCTATCACGGAAACGGCGCAAGCGCTCCGCAAACTTTGCAGTTCAGCAACTCTCCGCGGCGTCCCAAGTTCGCGCATACCAGTGGTTTACCACACTTCTTGCATTTTGCCAGGTCAACTCCACCGGCTTCTGCCTTGGGGTATGTTGTCGATGACTGCGCTGGTGCGCCCGAGCTGGCCTTGCCCCTTGGTTCAGTGTAATTGTTCATCGTGGGTTGTACAGGTGTTCGGTAGGTGTGGTAGATGTTTGCTTGTATGTGTGTATGTGTCTTTGGTAGTCGGCGTTTGGTCGAGTTGTCTTCGTGTGTGCTAATTCGGGTGGTGGTGGAAGGAAGGTTTTGGAGGGTATTTGCTAAATAGAATATGTCCATTCACCATGTAAACCCATACTGTGCGCTTCACTGCGAGTACTCTACAGCGTTGTAGAACATCAGCATGGATCTCCTAGAAGACTCTTGATTATTCGTCTTCAACTCATGGACGCTGCTCGTCCATGGAATCAAAGTGGCGCCAGGCTTCACCACAGCAGGGGCTTCTTCAACAGACTGAAATGCTACGTACGCGACTGGTGAGTATGTTGACAGTGAAGTGTCTGTGCAGCTATTCGCTGGACTTTCAGCTTCACGAAGCCTCCACTGTGAATACATGAGTTCATCACGGAGCCCGCATACTTAACCCTTACCATGGCTCGTCATGCCCACCCCGTATCTCCAGTCTTCTCCAACAAACATCCCGTATACACAAGCGAACACAACCTCCAATGACAGCCCAAACCAACCCTCCAACCAAACAGTCCGCCAACACTGCACCAAACACCTCATACGAACACGAGCAGACCTCCGAATCCGAAACCGACCTTCTCATCCCTTATGTCTCTGACGACGACGATGATTCCGACGACGAAGCAGACTCCAACAACGAACCTGGTGCCTTCGGCCACTGCTGGCACTGCGACGCCCCCTTACCTCTGCCCACCGCAGATGGAGCCAACGTCAACTGTCTCGAATGTCAGTTTCCGAACTAATTCGCGCGGCGGAAAAAGGACTAATCTGGCTAGGTCATGAATGCGGAGGCTGGTTGGGTCCACCTTGAGTGGAAGGACAGAAGGGATGAAGTGGGATGTGGTGTTGAATATTGAGTTTGTGTCGCTCTAGAAGGGATGTTACAATATAGATGTAACGAAGAATGCATCTTAATCAATACATGCACATCGCCATTGTAGTCTCTCATAGCTTAACGTTTGTCTTTATATTATGTATCAAGGCAAAGGCATTCTACGTATTGCTCCATGAGCCAAATCACCCTAGCAGTGATACCCATTTCGCATCCAGTCTGTGCTATGACAGTGACTCGGTAGTCTAGTTCAGCCAGTTTAGCCCCCAGTAGTTGCTTCTTGAGATCTTTCTGGTTATCCTGGTGAAAGTGTGGAGAGGGGGTTCACTCCCCATACACGCATCCGCGCATGGTTAGTCAACATACTCAAACGATAGTAGCATTACGCATTCACTCTTCCGCATCGTCAGCTAACCGTGTTTGACCAACACACAGCGGACCCTCAGACCCCTTTTCGTGGTTTCAGTAGTCTATATCAAACGTATCACTCGGGTTTCTTCGCAACACAGCTCACGCATATGCTTGCGAGGTCCAGTAACTCTACCACCCAGATCAAAAGTCACGTCATGTCCACTCAAAGAAAATCCAAGCCGCTGGATGTGTACTTCTCCGTCTACGGCTCTGCCCATACAAACCCAGTTATACTTAGTATTTCTGGTACAACATGCCCAGCCTCTACTCTTCGATCTCCTTCTACACCCACTTCCAGGTACACATCCCCATCTCCACCCTCACCCTCACCCTCACCCACACTGCTAACACCACCCACATCAACCAGCGGCGCCTCAACACCCTCACCCTGCTCAGCACGACCTTCTCCCACTCATCTCGATATGCACAATCACAGCATGTACGTCCAAACCGACAAAGGCATATACTACCGAGACGAAGGAGAGAAAGACAGGAACGGGAACGTGATGATTTTAAAGGACCCGTGTGAAGATTGCGGAGGGGCCGTGGTGTGGGCGACTAAGGGCCCGTGGTTGTTGATTTGTCGGGATTGTGGGGAGATTCAGTAGGGGTGAGCGGGAGGGAGGGGGATGTGGAAAGAGTGTGGTGGAGGAGACTCTGGAGAGATGAGGGGTAAGGACATGTGTATAAGTAATGGTTGTGTGGTGCGCGAAGATGAGTCGTATGTATGTAGTATGTGACTCCTGTTTTTTGACTTCGGCGCCACGAGAGCAATGGATGAGGTGTACTCTGCTAAAGTATGAAACTACCGATTCAAGGTAAATGGATAGCGTTTGACTCGTTCTTCTGTCTACCCATATTTTGATAACTCCCCGGAAGTCTTTCTAATGTCTCGCTGGGATACTGTCATGGATGCAAAGTGTACAGTGCGTTAGTCCTTGGACTTTGAGCATCACGAATACTGCTGTCTAACGTAGCATGACAACCACATGTTTCGTAGTCTCATCATTCGCATGAACCTGGTCAAAGAAGTAGACACTAGTGCATGTCCTCAGTGCCAATACAACGGGAATTCGTCATATCAAACTACGTCCAGAAAGGACATCCCTTCAACTCCTCATTCCCAGTTGGACGGGCGCTGGAACTAGATGCGCGGACCCAGCGGGAGCAAGCGCTTGGGTAAAGACGCCGTTCATCCAAGCGAAATCCCCATGAGGAAATCCCTTTGTCCCCAACCATGCGGGTCGTTAGGGTCTAGAAAGGGTCGCTGGTGCGATGAGACAGTGTTTTGGGGTTTCGAAGGAATGTGCATGTCGGAGATGAAGTGTTCCTTCCGGTCTTCGCCGATGAGGATCTTGGTATAGGGACTTGGCTATATCTGGCCAGCGCGTATAGGCTTACGACAACGACAGATAGTAACATGGCGCTATGTTATCAACGCTATCGCATCGTTTCGAAGTCGACATCCTAGCGTACGATAGCACATCGTTAGGCCACCAGAAGTTTGGTACACATATGTCGAGATACGTTAGCGCCATCAAAGTTGACAGCTAAGCGTGAAGCGGCTCATCACACGCATATTCTCATCATCGTCTTTCGTGTCAGCAAACTCAAAGTTGGTGGCGCAACGCCCTAGTGCAGGCACACGTCCCACCGTGGGTCAAGATGTACACCGATCAGGAGGTATAACCACGAGGTCGCCTTATCGATAGGAATTAGGTTTGCCGTGCCGCATGTCTGCTTTCTTTTGGTCGATGGAATGGGACAAGCGACGCCCATCCCAGCGCTACTGCGACCAAAACGTCTGCCAGTGATGGTCAGGTGCCACACACCCTTCTGGTAGTATCGCCGTCATAGAGCCGACGGCAGCGTATTCGTACTTTTTGAATGGTTTGCAGAGTGAGGTTTTATTGATTGGGGGGATCGAGATTGATGCTCCAAATTCGAGGGTGATGTTTACCTCACCGCAAATCCACGTTCGCGCCGACTTTCGACTTGCATACAAACAAAACATGTAATTTGTCGCAACGAAGTCTTGTAGCCCATCAACCGCTGAGACCCGCTCCGGTATCCGGGAGCTTGAGCAGAGTGCGGTTCCTTAGTGTCCAGGGGACGATCAACGACCCTGTTGGTTATTGGTTCCCATCCGAGCGCTTTCGATGCAAGGGGTCGAGGGTCCAATGAGTGCTCGTAACCACCCACCACATAGAGGAAAAAGAATCGTGTCTTGCATGCACCCTTCCGTACTAGATCGTCAATTGCATCAGGTTACCGACCCAAGGCTCCTTGTGCGGTCGAGGTAGGCTGAACTCAGCAATTATGTGAAAGCCCTGTTGCTCGTAGTACCTAAGAAGAGAACCTCTAATCAGTACCACATGGTGCGCTCCAGTGACAACAGGGAGGAGAGACTAACCGAATTAACTTCCTCTCGTTTCCTGCCCAGCCATCCAAGTATAGAACTTTCTTCCCCCGGCTACGGCCATAGTTCCGCACCTCGTGAAGAAGTGCAGCTCCAACCCCACGAAATAGATCCTTCGTACGGCTATCGCTAACCATGACTTCAACATACAAACTTTCTTCGAGTTTGAATTGTGCAGCTTGTGGGATTGTCGCTGCAGGAAGATAGGTAGGGAACCACTTTCCGCGGACGAACGCAAAGCCGACAGACACAAAACAGCGCCCATCGTCAGAGACGCGCGAGTGCATATCTTTCAGATCAGGAGCTGCAATTGCCTGCTCTACGAGTTCGGCTTCGACAATAAGAATGCGTAGGGCATCCGTTGTATCCGAGATTTGACTGTGCTTCGATTCTCGGACCTGCCGTTGCGTTTCTTCAACCCAACCTGGTCGTTGTGAAAAGGGAGTTGAGCCCCATTGCGCTAGGCTCCCGATCGATTCTAGATAGGGGAGAGATGCATCAAAAACTGAGATGATAAAGGAGTCGTCACCTTCAGCGAGCCCCGCGTCTCGAATAGAGAACTGGTATAGGGTGGACATTCGTTAAGCCTTACTGATGGGCCCAGCAAATAGATCCGGTAATTGTTCGGGCACGCGTTGTTCTTCGAGTAGCTGAACGACGTGAAAAGAGAGGCGCAAAGTTAGGGCAAGATCCCTGAGTCAACCTTAAATGGTGACGATGGGAAGGATGGGTCGGGTGACCTAGCCATGAATAGAACCAATTAGCTGAATATGCATGAATTCGCCTAAGCATGCTTGCCCACCCCCGCCGCTGGTGGACTCTATTTATCTATCAGGAATAGACAAGATTGTGAACAAACAACCCTTACGTTGGATGTGCATGAAGGATTGTTCTTCGTACACGTCGCAAGTGAGCTCGGCGCTTTGCTGCAATCCTCCATGCAGGCTGACGAGCTGTGGGAAGCAAGATAGACTTCTGACGAGAGCTGTACGAAACGCAGTGCTGACTGGCGCGCGGGTCCTGGTAACTTTGCTTTGCCCTTGCATAGTTTTCATGAAAAGGATTCATTTCGGAAGCGTACAGTCAGATCCAACGACAAACCTATCGCGCTTATCACCAAACGGGTGGTGTGAGCTGAATTGCAGTTCACATCGAGTGCCGGATGGTTCCCTGCTAACTGCATAGGTGTACAATCGACCAATAAGGTTCCTAACCGGGACAACATCAGAGGCGACCGTCGGTCACTCCGTTGCGGGGTTCCAGGTCAGAGGTCGTCACGAAGTGGCGCTGCCTCAGGCGTGCCTCAACCAGCTGTCACTCTCGTCTCGTTGCAGTATGCCTTAGCGAAAGAGGGGCGCGCAATCGAGGGGTCGGTGGTAGTAGCTAAAGCTGAACTATCAGCTCCTGCGACGACTGGCCAGAGCTCCGATAGCCAAGTATAGGGCAGAGAGACTGCATGCATGCTGATGTTGTCTAGATCTGCTAGTACCGCAGTGCAGGACGCTGATCGTTGAAATTCGGTCGCCATTCCGGTGAGCAGTGGTCTGAAGATATGAAGCCATGCTTTTCTCTGCGTCTGGAACTGCCGGTACGTAGGCGATGGTTTCAGGTGCGGTAGTAGGGTGTGGGGTTGAAGCATCTGGTTCGTCTGGGGAAGATGGCGGCCTAGACTTTGGACCGGTCGAACAGCCGGAAGCGAGCGGGAGGCAACGAACGGCATTTAGATCACGTTGGACGACCATCTGAGTGGTTTACAGCACGATGAACTTTTTTCTGTTGGGAATGCGCGTGGTTGGTTGTAAGCATATCGAGAGTGCGGCTCTGCGGACCCAGGCGGCGCTCCTTCGCTGTGTACACGTCGCTGGGTGAGGGATTGCATTCGTGTACAGCCAGCAAATTACCCGGCCCACCTAGCAACGCAATTTCCCACATGTACTCGTTGCCTTGGTTGCAGGGCTACGTCAAGCCAGCGAATGTGCCGATGGTGCTCGTGGCATTATGACGATTGCTCAGGATAAAAAAACAATGCTCGCTTCGCTCGGGTCTGAGGTTTGTCTGTGTGGCTGTCAGGTGGTGTTCAA